TTCGCCACGACAGAGGGATTCTTGGCTAGCTGCGAACACTTCACAGCCTCCTGCTCCAGGAGACGTCGGGCCAGAAGAGCGAAGAAGAATGCACGACTAGATCGCCACTCCACACAAGCGCTCACCAGTCCACGTGCCGTCAAGCGTCCTGGTGTGTCGTGCAGATCAGCGAATTGATGCGCCGCCTAGAGAACAATCGGGATTCATGTGGGCGGTGAAAGACGTCGGTAACAACGTTCATCAATGTGCTCGACCAACTACTCACAAAGGCATCGTTAACTGGCGCTTTATGACCAGTCCAACCTTTGGATGATCGACACGCCCACAACGTTACATGTGAATATAGACAGCCAAGCATTTTGGCGGATAATATCTCAAGGCAGTAAGACAGTTAATGTCTGAATCAAGCAAATGTGCAGATGCATCCCACTGTGCAAATTGCAAATTGCACTACCAGTTACCTGCTGATAACTAGGCATCAGCTGTTCATGTCGCTGCTTGAGCTGGTCCTTTAGGTCCTTTACATCGACAAACTGCTGGGGAGATGTCGTCGTCGTGGCTTTGACCTCGGAAACCAGCTGTTTGCACTCGTCATCCAGACGATCCATGGCTGCGACAAGATCTTTGAAGCGGTATTTGATTTCTACTGTCCCTTCAGGTTCCAGAACACCGCCGCGACAAGTGTCAGGAGTGCAGAATAACTCCATGTGGTCTGGGTTGATTGCCGGATCAATAACGACCCAAGCACCACCTCTTAGCTCTGCGTGTGGAGGTAGGTAAACGAAAACTGGACATGGGTAGGTTATCAGCTCCTCCACAATCATCGCACCGAACTTGAGAACCTGAAAGGCGAAATCTTCAACTTCTAGCAGTAGTTGCCATCAACATAACAACAAACCTGCTCGATGCTACAGGTAGCCACCAGGGTTTTCGCGAGAGCCCAAACCAAGACTCAATGGGCGGTTATTGGAAATTCGGGACAACTTGAGAAGACGCTTACTAGTGGTGTTCTTACACACTTGAAGGCTCAACACCGTGTAAGTTTGCATACAAAGCACAGCCTGACGTTAATTAGCAAGCACAAATGCAGACTCGAAGAGACCTGAAGAAATTCGTACAGTACCTGATCGTACATATCCTTGAGTCCACCAGAGAAGCCACGCCAATTGGCGAACACAAAAAGAGGCAGTTCCTCTCGAGCAAAGTCCGCGATGACCTGGGCTGTCTTGTAGGCGGAGTCCGGATACCAGACCTGGCCGGCCTGGTTAATTGATTGTGCTTCAGATGCGGGGTTGGCGGGATCTGCTGGCACCCGACAGACAGAAACGCGGGTCTCAGGAGTGATCACGCCACAGGGAATGCCGCCGAGACGCGCCCGACCAGCAATAGCACCCATTGCCCACGACCCAAGCACCTCCTGCCAGGAACCCCAATCGAAGAACCCAGACAACCACTGTTGATCGACCTTAGTTGACGTCCCGTGTTTAGAACCATCGTTGCGCGTCGATTCAAATTGTCCATCTGTCAGCATGAAATGCAAGGCAATTTAAAAGGCTGTACGTCGCACTTTTCTCGTCTGTACACTACCAGACTGAAGCCTGAGCATAATTATACTGCTGGGAAATAGTGACTCGTCACGCCTTCACGAAGCATTCGCCACCCTCTTACGAAACTCACTTAGTACTCCTGTGAACATCCATCGAGGATCGTCATTGGTTCTCTCACGAGAGGGAATATACTCCACAGGTCGATCGATTGGATCAACACCGCCTGCGCAAATGGATGTAGGAACTGGTTGGCGCAGGAGTGGGAGACGGGCACCCCG